ACTTGAGCCTGTGTGCTTCTTTCTTGGTACGCATTGAGGCGCTGCGCCCTCCCCCCTGCACCCCCCCACCCGCTTTTATTTTTTAATCGACTTCCCTTGCTATCTACTCTCTTTCGTTTTTATTCATATGTATTCCCATTTGTTTTTTTTTTGATCCTCCCTTTCCGCAGTTTCTTGACGATTTTCACTACGATCGTCCTTATTTGTTTTTTTTGATCCTTATTTGTTTTTTTTTGATCCTTATTTGTTTTTTTTTTGATCCCTCGATTTTGTTTTTTTTTGATCCTTATTTGTTTTTTTTTTGATCCCTTAGCCTTCATTTATATCAAAACAAAACTGACTGGCAAAATAAATTTTATTCCCTAAATATACCCTGAAGTTCTTTACAAAAGTATCAGTATTGTCATAAATCATCACATATAAATATTCATAGAAGCCTACTTCGGTTGTCTTAAATGAAGTAGGCAAAGACACTTCAGTAATCCACATTTTACTACCCTGTGGCATTTCCATATTTTCTTGGAGTTCTATGATAAAGTCTGATGAAGACCTTACTGTGGTAATCTGAATTTGGAATTAACATATACCCTTTTGTAAGTTAATTTATTACTCATAATATATTTATTATTTAGATTATAATTTATAAACATTAATATAAATGATAGGAGTTATTACAGGTGTAGCCAGAACAGCATTAACACAAGTAGCAAGGCAGTTCGGTAGAGAAGTTGTTGATAGAATAATGGCAGGGGAAGCAATAGACAGCATCCTAACAAGAGACCAAATGAGAGAATTAGCAAAGAAGACAGGACAAGTAGCATTTAATGAACTAATCAAGCAAGGTAAAGATGCTGTTATAAAAGACTATGAGAAGAAGAACGCAGACTGGAACGCAAGAATGAACGACTTTACAAGAAATTTAGATGATGAATTCAGAAAGAACACTACTTTATACAAAGAAGTAAGAAACATACAGAACAAAAACAAAATTGAAGATAGGAGAGGGTTATGGAATGCTTATGATAGTCCCGCTGGTGTTTATAAATCTGGTTCAACATTATACATTGCTGGAACAGGTGGCAAGGATGGTTCATTGTCAAGAGATATAATGGATGATTTATTGTTAGTCCCAACCAGAAATGTAAAACACAGTGAGAAATACCAAGATGTTATGAAGTATTTAAAAGACAACCCTGATGTAAAACGCTTGGTTTCACACAGTTTAGCATCTGCAGTAGTCAATCATATAAATAAAGAGATGCCTGACAAATACGCAACAACCACTTATGCCACACCAACCATAAAACCAAGAAGAAAGGGGAAACAAGACCCAAGAAGAATTGACCTGCGTAATCCCAATGATGTAGTGAGTTTGTTAGATGGGTATGCGGAAACTTCAAAATGGGATGAAATAAACCCCCTTCTTGCGCATTCCTACATCAATTTCGCCCATCAAGGCAAGTGGCATTTACACCCTACAACAAAAATTAGTGGTGGCATCAATCCAAATCATCCAATAAACATATAGAAAAAACACATATTTAAAGATATAAAAGTATAAAAAAGTATAGAATGGTGGTTGATTATTCCAAGGCAAAGGTCTATAAAATCTATAATACTGTTGATAGTGATATATACATAAGTTCTACTTGTTGTAGTCTGGGAATGAGGATGGCAAAACACAGAGCATATAGAACCAATGAGAAAGTGAAACATCGCAGACTGTATAAGAAAATGAATGAATTAGGAGTTGAAAACTTCTATATTGTATTGCTTGATGAAATGCCAGAATGCCAAAATAAAGAACAACTACATAAGAAAGAAAGAGAAAAAATTGAAGAACTGAAACCTGCTTTAAACTATGCCATTCCAACCAGAACTTTTCAAGAGTGGGTGGAAGATAATAGAGAGTATGTAAGAGAATTTGACAGGAATTATCGTAGAGAAAACAGAGAACATAGAAATGAAACCCAAAAACAATGGAGAGATAAAAACCCTGAAAAAGTAAAACAATACAAAAGGACAGATTATGAAAAAAATAGGGAGAATATCATAGCAAAGGCGAAAGAAGATTACCAAAAGAAAACAACCGTGTCAATGTGAAATCTGTGGCAAAACTATGAGAAAAGATTGTTTAAACAAACATATCAAAACACAACATTCTTAATATTATTTTGTATATAATATTAATAATGTTAAAAAGAATAGATTATAAACATCAACCAAAACCAATCACCCTAACAAAAGGTCATTCAACATATAAGAAACTGGAGAAGGAGATGAATAAACCACCCAGTCTAGTAGAAAATAATGAAAATAATATAGAAAAAATAAGTAATAATATTCAATCTAAAAATGTTAATTTAATGCCACATAAGAAAAAACATATATCAATAAAAACATATCTAAATTAATCATATATAGTAATGGATAATTTAGTCAGCGAAGCATCCGATGTAATGATAAATGGATTGAACTTTGGCCTTCCAGAAACCGCACAATACATCACAGACCGCCGGTTTGTAAATTATTTTCCATCAGGGTCTAACATCTATGCCAGTAATCAAGGAAACAAGAACATAAGATTTTACATCAGCGGGGAGGCAAACCAATACTTAGATTTAAGCAGTGTGCGTTTATTTGCCACTGTTCAAAACACAGATGGAACAAGATACAGGGCAACAGTAGGAGGTCAGATGGTTCAAGACATTATTGAATATAACCGCCACCGTGAGTTATTTAAATCATTTAAGTCAAAAGATGTTAATGAAATGGATGATATTGAAAGCAGTGCTAATCCATCTTATGATGATGACTACCACCTGTATGCTAATGGATTAAATAATATGATTGATTATACAACATCAGGAGCAACTAATGCTGGTGGTGTAGCAACTGTTGATACAACGGCAGACCATAATGAATATGGGAGAATTGATTTCAGACCTACAAGGCATAGTTTGTCAGGCATACCCGGTGCTAATGGAAAAGCACGACTTTCTCATAAACCCTGCTGTGGATTACTTGAAAGCAATTACTATCTTCCATTGAGAGTAGCGCCATGAGAATTAGAATTTACTATTGTAAGTGATGGCAATGAACCTATTGTAGTCCCACAAGGAGACGCCCAAACAAACCCCAATACTGAAACTGACAAGCAAGGTTATTACTTTCAAGGAGGCAATACATCAGCAAGTTGGGAAATTAACAATGTCATTATTAGAGCAGAAGTAATCACACTTGACAACACTGTTGATAATAACATTACAAAACACTTATTGGAAGGGCAATCATTAAATCTCATCATCCCACAATACCACACCATCACACAAACCTTTAACACAGGTGGAGGTGAAATTAATATGAACATTGTTAAGTCGGCATCTAAATTAACTAATGCTTTCATCACACTTTATAGAAGTCCAAGAGGCGGAAGTAGATATGGTTATTATTTACCTGACAATTATGTTTATAAAAGATGGAATTATTTTTACAATCCTATGATTAATGGAGAGATTGATGACGGACCGTCTGCCGATGTTGTCCCACTACAACAAGGAAAAGGGTTTGCTGACAACAGTAGGGCACTTACTTACCAGCTTCAAATTGCTTCGAAGAAGTATCCTGAGTTCGAAGTTCAATCACTTTCAGAAGCATTCTACTTTTTACGGCGCACATTACACTTTTTTGAATCCAGAGCAAAACTCACTGAATATCAGCTATAAGCAGTATCGGGAAAATAAATTTGTGATTGGCTTTTCAATGGAAAAGATGTCTGATTTAGCCTTTAGTGGCGTAAATACCAAAATGGGAAGCTTAATCACTTTTAAAATCAAAGGAACAGAAGGAACACTGGCAGAGACAGAGCAGATTGAAGAAATTTTTACTACATTGGTGTCTGAAACAGTTTTGGAGCTCCGCTCTGATGGAAGCATAATTTATGACTAAAAATATTTTCTATTTAGAAAATATAGATAGATGTTTCAAGCATATAAGAGAAAACAGACCACAACAAATTACAGAAAGAAAATGCATGCCCCAGCAGGTAAAGCAACAGGTAGTGGTATGTTTAAACATTATGACACAAGATATATGACGTGGTTAAAGAGACAATTAGATGAAAAAGAGACAAGAGATAAACTAATATCAATCAGAAACGATAGAAATCAGATAGACAGAATTAATAATGAAATACAAAGAGATAATTTAAACCATAATAGTTTAGAACATTTACAGCATCAAATAAATTTAGAAATTTACGTTTTTCTTGATAAAATATTTTTTCTAAATAATTTTATATTATCAATGGCAACAGCAGTGATAGAGAATGTAAATAAGATGTCAAAGTATGGATTACGCAGAAAACCAACTTATGAAGAAATCACCAATCTAATATCAGAAAATGAAAAACTGACGGGAGCATTGCCAAATAGAGATGCTACTTTTTTCGGAAATTCACCAGAGGGCAGTATATTTGATGGTGCTGACGCAATGGAGCAATTAAGGGAAGAGCAAGGGAAAATATTATTGAGACAAATGAATGACATTTTATTAAGGCAAAATGTAAGAACAGCAGGTAGAACATATCACACTGAAAGACTACAGCAACTCCCGCTACAATCACCGGTCATAGCACAACCTACTCAACCTATGAATGTAGATGAAGAATTAACAACACAAACAACTCCAACAGTGCCATCATCTTCAACACAACAAGCATCGCATTTAAATGCTGGAATCACACAAAGAGGAGATAAGGCAATGAAGAGAAAAGAAGAAACAGCAATGAACCACAGAGGTGAAGTGTTTAAACAGAACAAACCGACAATACCTGAACAGATACATCACATCAACCCACCAAGAAGCTTTGCTCCTATAAAACCTGAAAGTTTCAACATAACGACTGATGAAGAGATGCCACAAGCCAAGGCAAAACCCAAAGCCAAGCCCAAAGCAGTGGCATCAGCATCAAGCAGTTCTCAAGCATTGCCCGATACCAGCTTCGGACCGCCTTCTCTGTCACCTCATGTGGTTGGTGCATTGGCGGCCTACAATCAAACAGCTGGCGGGGCTGTGAGCATGGAAATGGCTTTGGCATCTCGACAGCGGACTTTGGTTGCTCAAGCTGACATGCAGGCTTGGAAGTTGCAGCTGGAAGCTAGCTGCCCCACCCGTAAAGCTATGCTTCTTTCTGAAGCCGAGCCAGGTGGCCGTGCGTTCCTGGCTGCGGTGCCGGCTGGACCAAAGCGCATGGAACCTGCCGTGTTTACCGCGGAATTGCGCCACCGGCTTGGGGTGGCCGAAGCTTCAAGTGATGGATGGTGCCCCCGCTGCGACAGTGTTCTAGACACCTTCTCTCTGCATGCCGGGGTCTGCATAGCTGGGGGCGAGCGCAACCAGCGGCACAACGCGCTCCGGGACTTGCTCTGCACTTGGGCGGACCGAGCCGGGCTTCACCCAGAAAAGGAGAAACCTGGTCTCCTTCTCCCACAGCGCCCAGAAGAGACTGGGGTTGCACGCAGACGACCCGCAGACATCTTTGCACCTTGCTTCTCTGGCAAGCCTACTGCATTTGACTTGGCCGTGACAGGCTTTCAGCGGCAGGCTAGCTTAGCAGAGGCTGGGTGGCAAGGAGGCGCTGCGGCTGCTGCTTATGCAACTGTCAGAATGGCCCACTTGGACACTGCTTCGATTTGTCGAGGGCAAGGTCTCACCTTTGTCCCACTTGTGGCTGAGACGACCGGTGCTTGGGACCATGCGGCGGCCCGGGTCTTAAAGTGCATAGCCCGTGCGTGCAGTTGCTGCGCGGGAACAGGCCGAGCCTGCGGCTCTCTTTGCTGAGCTGCTGCAAGAAACTTCGGTTCTGATCCGCAGCTATCGTGGAAGGGCTGCCCTGCAGCGCCGTGCTGACGCCGCTGTGGCAGAAGCCCCTTCCCATGCTGCTTCGGCGGCGGCTGTGGTTTTGCGCTCCTGAAGCCTTCCTGATGTCCGGGATGAGCTGGGCCCGGTTTCTTGTGGCCGCCTTGCCTTTAGTGCTTGGCAGCATTTGTGCACGATGCTTTCGTTTTGCCTGGTGCCTAGTTTTCCTGTGCAGTCCCGGCTGGTGCAATTTCAGACTCATACTCCTCTACCGGGAGGTGCTTGATTTTTGGCATCTGGCGTTTTTGCTCGTGCCCACTTGTTTTTACTTTCCTTTTGGCATCGGCCTGGTAAGTATTGGCTTAGCCATTCTTTGCCTCGCCTGGGTGGACCCAGCCTTCCAGCTTGCAAGGGCAGCTGGCGGCGCACGGTGCCCCTGGTGCCGCTGATTCTCCCTTGCATCTGTACAGTGCCACAGCTTGGGCCGTGGGATGGATTTATCATGGATTTTCCGTAGATTTTATCTAAGGTCTTTATTTTCCCCGCATTTTTTGCACACAAGACGTATGCATTGTAGCATTGCCCGTTATAGAAGTTATGGATACAAGTAGTTCAAGCAAAAGAGCATCACCTGAAACACAAATTGAACCAAGAGGCAAAGCGGGAAGACCCGCGACCAGCGGCGCGAGAGCTTCGCGACCTAAACATTTCAAAGAAGGAACTGAAAGAAAGAACCCAGATAAAAGAGATGGAAGCAGTCCTGAAGATGAACCTAAAATGAGAAAGAAGAGGAACAAGAAAAGACAGATTTAGAAATAGGAGGAGCGGAAGCAGATGATGAAATTGATGAACCTAAAGAAAATAGAAGAAAGACAATACAAAAACCGGTGGGAGCATCCACAATAGGGGTTCAGAGGTTAAGAGAAGAGTTTGTAAATGCTAAAAACAAGGAGATGATTACAAAAGAACAGTATGACCAATTTGACAGCGCTTATAAAACTTGGTTTGCTTCAAAAGGTAATGACGGTAAGAAAAAGCAAATGCTGAAACAAATGAGGGAGGTTTATAAACTACACCTGTGGCAAAAATTGAAGGATATGTATAAAAGTCAATAATTTGTCTTAATGTACTTAAAGAGATATTCTTATATAAATCATAGTAATGAGTGTCAAAAACAGAGAAATTGATGAAAACGGCTATGTAATCATTGAGCCATTAATACAGCTGAATATTGATAAAAAAGCGGACTTGAAAAAATACAACAGGTATTACCACAGGGAATACTATAAGAAATTCTTGAGTGTCAAAGTTGAATGTCCTTTATGCGGGTGTAGCATCACAAAAGAAAAGTTCAAGAGACACCAGCAATCAAGCAAGTGTATCAGGATGAGAGCAAGTTATAATAATGAAGACACTGAAGATAAACCAGAGTAAATAAGGTAATACAATTAAATGTCTTAAACTACTTAAAGAGATGCTATTATAATATAATATAAATATATTATAATGCCATCAAAAAATATACAAAGAAATGTAGAAGTATTAAAGGGTCTAACCAGAGGTGCTAAAGAAGATGTTAAATACAGAGTGGATAAGGTGGTAGAGTTTTATGAAGACAGGAAAATTTCACAGAGAGAAACTGCACAGAAACTGATTAAACGCCTGATGAGCGACAACAAAAGAACAGCAACTTTTGCTAAAAAAAGATTTGACAAAAAGTTTGAACAGATTGAAGGCAGAGCGCCACTGAATGAAAGAATGGAAATAAACAGAAACAAGAAAGACTATGTTGTAAGATTTCAGTTGTATGGTTTTGACAATGGGCATAAAGCAGGAGGACAGAGAGGATTTAAAGACAATCAGGGAGACTGGCACAATCTACTTGCTATGGAGCAACCTATACAGATGAACTTGAAGAATGTAAGAGATGAGGATAAACTGAATGAAACACTGGTGGATAAGTATGTGGTCAGAGATAAGTTTGATTTATGGATGGAAAGACTGAAAGATAGGTTAAGGCTGAAGAAGGGCAACCCTAACAAAATTACAAGAAAACAATTTGATGAACTGAACACCAGAGAGGCTTGGATAAAGGAGACAGGGATAGATGCTACACTGCCCAGAAGAAGAAACACCAAAGGTAGATACAAAGAGTTTGAAGTGATACACGATACAGTTTTGTTTGATAAGTTATTCAAGAGATTAGTTGAAAAACACCCAGACCTGAAGAATAATACAAACCTTGAAGACTACACAAGTGCCATCAAGATTTTAGATATAAGTGATGTATCAAACACAGGAGGTAGTGATGATGAAACAAAAAAGAAACTGAAGGATGGCAATGAGATAGGAACGTATCACTACACCATTAATACCGAAATGGATGTTGATAGTGATAATTTAGTTGATGCCATCAAAAACAAGAAACACACTGAAGGGGAATGCTGGATTAACACACTGATAGACCACTATGAAGAGACACTAATGAATACTAAAAAGTGGGAGAGCAAAAGAATGACAAGAAATAAGGTTTTGAAACTAATGAATTTGAATGAAGAAGAGCAGAGAGAATGGGGCATCAGTTGAAGATATGAAATTTGTTTTTGAAGAGTTTAAACTGACAGTCAGATTATACAACTGTATGGGCCAAAAGATTTATACCTATGACCCTGATAAGAAGAACAAAAACATAACCGTTTTGTTTGGATTGATTAAGGGCAACCACATTTACACAATGAATGACAACATCAACAGCATAGCACAAAGGGATTTTGAAAAAGATATGAAGATAAGTGCTTCTACTGACTTTCGTTTAAATAGCAAGGAGAAACCAGTTAAGTATGATTTTTTCAATGGCATTGATGACATAATGGGTATAGTTAAAGAGAATGAAGATGAAGAAGGAGAAGTAAATTTAGTGAGTGGCAAGAGTTTGAATACACTTTTTTGTGAGTTCAAGAGGGCAAAGTATGAGCCTAAAATCACAATGGGAGCAGGTGGCAATGTATCATCACTCAAGGTAAAATTTAATGGGTTGATTTTGAATATCAGAAGTCGAACTTTGATAGACTGCGCTGTGGATACTTGTATTGATAGTAGGAATGCTGATATGTTTAATAAAGTCAATGAGGCATTTTTCAATTTCAATAAGGTTATGTTCAATCCTAATCATAAGTCGTATTATCATAATGATGACTTGAACATATTTTCAGTGGCACATAGCATTGCTCCCAGTGGATATTTTGAAAGCATCATTGAAGGAAAGAATACACACATTGAATTAGATAGGAGGAAAGCCTACCCTCTGGTGAACTAACATAGCAATTGAAAATGGCCATTTATAGTAGATTTTCCCATTTAAAATGGCGATTTTCCATTGCTATGTTAGTTCACCAGAGGGTACACTAAATCCACCATTGATATTTTTGAAGTGCCTTGTTTTTCAGAATTTGATATTTGGCAAAAATATGATTATTCAAAGAATGATTTTAACAAGATGAATGATTTGACCTTGTATCTTGTTAAAAGCAGAGTTAGAAACTTATTTTTCAACAGGGCTTATAATTTGATTTACGGCAAGTTTTTGAGCAAATATGCTGATGATGTTGAAGTCATTTATTGCAAAATTCCATCTAATACATACAAAGTTAATTACAAAAAATTAGTTGATGAACTTTGGAAATTGAAACTGGATGCGGATGAGGAGAAAGATAGGTTGAAGAAAAAATGATTGCTTGTATCAACATTGGTCTATTAGAAAAGCAAACTAACAAGGCTAAAAAGTCCATAGTGTTTTCAAAAATGGTTGATGCCTTTTACTATCAAGAAAAATACGGTGGTGATATAAGTATTATCACTGAAACTACATACGACCGCTATTTCAATGATGGTTATGATGATGATGATGATATGCTGATTGAAAGAGATGAAATGGGGAATGACATTGAGAATATTGAGGATGATAATGGTAATGATATTCCTGAAAAGATAGATGAGTGTAAGCATTATGTGCTGAACATATCTGACAAAAAACTTTGATGAATGGATATAGGTTTATCAAAGAACTTATTTTACAACATCATAACTTTGATATGAATGAGGCTTGTAAAAAATTAAAAGACAATGATGTTGAAGTCTATTCTGTAAAGACTGACGCCTTTGTGATTGATAAATCTAATCTGGGCAAAGCAAGGGAGGTCTTGAAGTTTGGTAGTGAGATTGGAGAATGGAGATGGTCTGATAAATTCAATTTTCCCAGCAAGGCATTTTGTAAGAAACCCAGTAATTTGTGTGATATTACTGAATATCAAAATATGACTGGTGAAGTGAAGGATGAATGGAATACTGATGAAATCATAGATGAGCATATTTTGAATAATAAGAGGTTGATGATTAGAGGGGAAGTAGCAGGAACAGGTAAGAGTTATATATGTCAGCATTTACAAAATAGAGGTTATAAGGTATTATTTGTAGTGCCTACCAATAATTTAAAACAAGAGTGTGGAGCAGAAGCAATGACCATCAATAAGTTTTTTGGTATATCTTATGGCGATGAGAGACTTGAGAAGTTTGATTATTCTGATGTCGATGTCATAGTGTTTGATGAAATCATTTTTCATAATGTGGGCAAGTGGGCTTTGATATGGGACTTCTGTAAGAACAACCCTGATAAAATTGTAGTAGCCACTGGAGACACTAACCAGTTGAAAAACCCAGAGCGGGTAAGCAATGTAATGTCATTTGAGAAGTATGCTAATCATTGTATAGACTTGATTTTTGAAAATAATATTATGCTGTATGAATGTAAGAGGTTGAAGACTGAAGAAGACAGAAAGAAACTTTATGATATAAAAGGTATGATTATGAACAATGAGCCTATCCTTAATGTCATTGAAAAATACTTTGCATGGAGTGATGGCAATGAGATATGTGAAAACAACATGGCTTATACTAATAAAACTTGTAGAGAGGTGAGTAGCAGAATGAGAAAGATGAAAGGTATAGAAGATGAATATGTGATAGGTGAGGAGGTAATATGTAGAAAGTATGTTAAGAATAAAGGGATGAAATTTAATGTGAGTTTTAAATTCAGGGTTTCAAATATTCGTGGCAATGTTGTTGTTTTACAAAATGTGGCAACTAATGAGAAGCAAAATATAGAACTGAAAGTATTGAGAAAACATTTTATATATGCTTACTGCTACACGACACATTCAAAACAAGGTTGTAGTGTAGATGATGACATTGTGATATATGACTGGAGCAAATGGTATTGTAGCAAGAACTGGTATTGGACTTCGGTCAGCAGGGCAAGAGATTTGAATAGAGTTAAGTTTTATAAATATGATGTGGATGAAAATGATATGAGCAGATTAAGAGTAGAAACATATTTCAAAAATAAAGTAATGAACTATATTGAGCAAGATAAGAAAAGCAACAGACCCATAGATGATGATGAGTATGTTGATGTGGATTTCCTGATGGATATGATGAATACCCAGTGTGAAAATTGTAATGAACCATTGGTTATTGATTTTGAAGATGGCAAGGTTTCATCAAATATTAGTTGCCAAGGATTAAATAATGAACTGGCACACTATAAAAGCAACTGTATTCCACTGTGTGTTCAATGTAATTGCGCTTTTTCAAATAAAATATCAATGTAAAATGGTTTTAAAGAGATGGTATGTTTAGGATATATGGAGAACAATAAGTATGAAAAAGGAAAAATATATTTAATTACAGATGTTGCTTACACAAAGTGCTACTACGGAAGCACTTGTGAAGAATTGAGCAAAAGATTTTGGAGACATAAAGGTGTCTATAAAACCTTTTTAGACGGCAAGTGTTCATATAAACATTCAATTTGTCAGTTATTTGATGAATTCGGAGTAGAAAACTGTAAAATAGAACTGGTAGAACTGTTCCCGACCCAATCCAAGATTGAAGTATTACAAAGAGAAGGCTATTACATCAAAAACAATGCTTGTGTCAATAAAGAAGTGGCAGGAAGAACACCGCAAGAATATTACAAAGACAACAAAGAAAAGTGCGCCAAGTGGAACAAAGAATGGCATATCAAAAATAAAGACAATGCCAATGAAAGAGGAAGAAACAACTATCATAAAAACAGAGACAAGTTGATGTCAATAGTTGATTGTGATTGTGGTAGTTCTTTTCAACTTCAAAATAGGTCGCACCACATCAAGACAAAAAACACCAAGACTGGCTGAAGCAACAAGAGCAAGAATAAATGATATAATATATACTTATTATATCATCTATTCTATAATGAGTGATAAACAGAAGATTATTAGTGATATTTATTTTGATAAAGCGGGCTATGGTTCAAGAAAGACCACATTAGAAGATGCTAAAAAGAAAGAACCTACAATCAAGAAAGAGGATGTGGAACAATTCTTTAGAAAGAATGTAGAAGTCAAAGCAAAGCCCAGAGGGATGAATTCCTTTGTAGCACCAAAAAATAATCATACTTATCAAATAGATTTGTTCTTTATGGGATATTATGATTTTGAGAAAGAACAAAAATTCAGAGGAGGGTTAGTGTGTATTGATGTTTTGAGCAAGTATGCCGTTGTTGTTCCAATCAAAACTAAAATGGGGAGGATGTCCTTGAAGCAACTAAAGAGGCATTAGGGAAAATGGGTAAGAAGCCTAAACTGATTTATACAGATGATGAGAGAGCAATAGCAGGTGAAGACTTTAAGGATTATGTGGAAGGTGAAGGTATAACCTTACATAGGACAAGAGGTCATCCCGCTTTTGCTGAGCGTTTTATACGCACCTACAAGGATATGCTTTTTAAAAGAGTAGAGGCTGATGAAAAAAGGTTAAGGCAAACATACAATGGGTTGATTACAATTTAGAAATAATGCTTACATACAATGATAAAATGAAGCATTCCGCTACAGGTATGACACCAAAAGAGGCAAGGAAAGATAACAATGAATTCAGAGTAATGCTGAATGTAGCATCAAAGGCAAAGAAAGAAAGAATACACCCAACATTAGAGGTGGGAGACAAAGTAAAGATAATGAGAAAGAAAGCAATTACAGAGAAAGAAAGAACTTCCCACTGGCTGAATGGCTATTATGTTGTGCAAGAGGTTGCAGAAAAGTTGAACTAAAAATATTACAAATTAACTGATTACCCAAGATTGTTGATGAGGCATGAACTTTTAAAGATTTAGTGTTTTAGAAAGCATTGTAAGCATATTTTCCCATACTTATGCCTACTTGATGCAACCATGAGATGGTTGATTTGATGTGCTATTTTGATTTCAGGGTTTGGTGTTTTGCCCTTCATTTGTTTTCCCCATGAATTTGTGTTTGGCACGTTTGGGTCATTGGCTGGGATTACTCTATGTTCCTTTGTCCTTCTGCCCCGCCTTGGCTTTGTCATCAATCTCTTCTTCATCCTGCTGTCGGGGCGCTCAGCTGTTGGGAATATGTCAGTTGGAGGTTTGAAGCCACATATTCTTGGAGAGCTTGACCTTGGAATTTGTTTCAATTTGAGCATCTTTGACATTCTCAGTTGGAAAGCTACAGAAATTAGCTCTTTCAGTTTGCGCTTGGAATTTTGTGTCATTCTTCAGCATCTTTATGTTCTTCCGTAGCGTTTTTGCGAGTTTTTCCTCAAACCACTCAGGGACGCTTTTTAGCTCAGGGGTGTCGGCATTGCCATGGCGCTCAAATCTGGTGTATTCGCTTGCCTCATCCTTGCATTGTGTGTGAGCTGCAACAACGTCATGGCAGAGGAGAACTCCGGCAAGGAGACTGAGAAGGGCGGCATCATCATCGGCCGCGGCCTCCCGATTGAGACTGAGAAGAGTGGAGTGCCCTTCCTCCCTCGGTCGGAGAACCTCGAGGAGACTGAGAAGCGCGGCTTCATCATCCCCCGCGGCCTCCCAATTGAGACTGAGAAGAGTGGAGCGCCCTTCCTCCCTCGGTCGGAGAACCTCGAGGAGACTGAGAAGCGCGGCTTCATCATCCCCCGCGGCCTCCCAATTGAGACTGAGAAGAGTGGAGCGCCCTTCCTCCCTCGGTCGGAGAACCTCGAGGAGCTGAGAAGGGCGGCATCATCATCGGCCGCGGCCTCCCGATTGAGACTGAGAAGAGTGGAGCGCCCTTCCTCCCTCGGTCGGAGAACCTCGAGGAGACTGAGAAGGGCGGCATCATCGTCCCCCGCGGCCTCCCGATTGAGACTGAGAAGAGTGGAGCGCCCTTCCTCCCTCGGTCGGAGAACCTAGACGAGACTGAGAAGGGCGGCACATCATCCCCGCGGCCTCCGATTGAGACTGAAAAGAGGGGAGCGCCCTCCTCCCTCGGTCGGGGGACCGCGAGGAGACTGAGAAGGGCGGCATCATCATCCCCGCGGCCTCCCAATTGAGACTGAGAAGAGTGGAGCGCCCTTCCTCCCTCGGTCGAGAGAACCTCGAGGAGACTGAGAAGGGCCGGCATCATCATCGGCCGCGGCCTCCCCGATTTGAGAACGAGTGGAGAGCCCATTCCACCCCGGTCGGAAACCTCGAGGAACTGAGAAGGGCGGCTCAGCCCCCCAAATTTGAGACGCCCTTCCTCCCTCGGTCGGAGAACCTCGAGGAGACTGAGAAGGGCGGCATCATCATCGTCCGCGGCCTCCCAATTGAGACTGAGAAGAGTGGAGCGCCCTTCCTCCCTCGGTCGGAGAACCTCGAGGAGACTGAGAAGGGCGGCATCATCGTCCCCCGCGGCCTCCCAATTGAGACTGAGAAGAGTGGAGCGCCCTTCCTCGAGAACCTCGAGGAGACTGAGAAGGGCGGCATCATCATCCCCCGCGGCCTCCCAATTGAGACTGAGAAGAGTGGAGCGCCCTTCCTCCCTCGGTCGGAGAACCTCGAGGAGACTGAGAAGGGCGGCATCATCATCGGCCGCGGCCTCCCGATTGAGACTGAGAAGAGTGGAGCGCCCTTCCTCCCTCGGTCGGAGAACCTCGAGGAGACTGAGAAGGGCGGCATCATCGTCCCCCGCGGCCTCCCAATTGAGACTGAGAAGAGTGGAGCGCCCTTCCTCCCTCGGTCGGAGAACCTCGAGGAGACTGAGAAGAGCGGAGTGCCCCACTGGTTTCTTTCCGAGAACCTCGGCAAGGAGACTGAGAAGAGCAGGGACGCCCCCACTTACCCATGAGTGGGCGAGATCGAGCACGCATGATGACTTGCAAAACAGTTCTTTGCTTCGCCAACAACAGGGCGACTTACAAAGCAGTGCTTGCTTCGCCAACAGGGCGACTTACAAAGCACGTGCTTGCTTCGCCACTAGGGCGACTTTGCAAAATAGTGCTCTTAGCAGATGCTTTTATGATTGACAAGGTCTGTAGGTAGCAAGGTAGCAAGGTTTCAGGGTGTCAAGTAGGAATAGGACATTGCTTCAATAGAGCATTCATGCCAGTGAGCCTTCGCAAGCTTGACATTCAGTGCATTCATGCCTGATACAAAGACAAACCCTTCCAAAAACTTGAGAAGACTGGCACCAACAAGTCTGGGACGCACACCACACAAATCTTTTTCACTCCATTTCGCCCCAAAAGTTTGGATCGCTGTGCCATTTACATCGCACTGAGGTTAAGAAGACATGGTTATCAACAAGTTCATGAAGGGCGGTTTGGGCATGGTAATTGCGGTAATTTAAAGAGATATGTTGAGAAAGATATTGGCTGGGGGCTGAGGCTTCCCCCATAGGGGGAGACTGTGGTAATTAATCCCTTAATCTTCATAGTAAATGATTATGAAATTTATGTTGGTTATCCCCATGAATTTGAAGTGATGATTATGAAATTCAAACTCAAAATTACAAGAGGCACACAAACACTTTGAAGCATGAGAATTTGAAGAAGAATGATAGTTAAATTTCTTTTTATAAAAGTGAAATTGTCTTTTGTTTTGGTTTGTTGTTATGGTTTTTCGTATAGTCTATTTTATAATCTATTGTATTGCTTATGTTGTTTTGTTTTTTTCTTTTTGTTGTTTGTTGTTCTGATGTATGTTATTGTTTTCTATAAGGTGTTGCTCCCCTGTCTTTGGTACTAACCCCATAGAATTTGCTTGTATAATAATGTGGGCGGTTAGATGAGAAAGACGGGGGGGCCCATTGCTAACTATATCAGATCACTATCACATGTTCCAGTCACACTTCGCGATGTTAGGCGGCCATACCATCCATCCCAATTGTGAGTGACGATCTTCCCATGAATTTCAATTTGTTGGAACATGTTGGATCTATCATGATCTATCATGATCTAACCATATCTAACCCCAACCTAATAAGATCTAATAACCAAAACAGTATGACTGGCTGCTTCACCATCTTTCACCGCATGGGATGTACCATGATGTACCCACGATGGAGCCGGAATCCCATCCAGGTTCGGCGTCGGCGTCGTGCTCTTGCCTTGAGAGTTGAGGAGGAGCGATCCCAACATGATTCGTCCTCTGTATATTTGGGGATTTTTCCAAAGGTACTAAGCTTCGGGATGCAATTCCATGTATACTATATATATATTATAGATATAGATCAAGAATGATCAAGAAGGTTTTGTTTCGCAAAGGATGAAGTGCCAGTTGAGTTTCAGCATCCACCAGCTGCAAGCAATATTTTCCTTAAGTGACAACACCATTTATGGCGCTCTCTTGAAATTCGGGATCCACCACCCAATCTGGAGGTAACCCTACCAAAGCAAGTCAGATTGGTTGAATTCGGGGTACAAACTTTAAGAAAGAATCGATCAAGATGAAAGTGAAGGACTGAAGACGTAGTTCCAACATCCATTGTGCAGACAGGGAATGACTTAGCCACCACCATCATCCACCCCTCATCTGCCAGCAGAATCTTCATGTTTCGGTATTGACCCGAGACAAAGGTTGGGTCCCGAGTTCAAGATTACGTTCAGTGGACAACTGCAGCACTTCTCAGCTTGATTTCTCACACGCCGCCTTTCCATGGCATGTGCCGGCACACTGGTTGTCCGCGACGTGTCCAGCGTGCATTGCTCAAAGAATTGTGTTGAGTACACAGTGGAAGGAGCGCCCTTGGAGAGTTTGTTTGGTGACTGTTGGATACTGTTGGTTCCAAACATTTTTTCACCCTACGAGCAGCAATAATTCCCAGTTTAGGCCGACAGCTTACCATGTTGGGCCGTGCAGGAAGCCCAGCTTCGTTTACTTGGCCCGCTGGAGAATCGACTGACTCACAATCAACTCATCGTGCACTGCTCGTGCGTGGCCGGGTTTTTCAAGGCACTGAGGCGCGCAGTGTCGACTACCATTGTTCAACTGCAACAAGTCTTCAGATGTTTCGAGAGTCTAAGATTTTTGTGCCCACCGGTTAATATAGAGGGCGGCACCCCGTGGGGGAGTGAATTTTCATTAAAAATGATGATAAAACACTGTAAATACCGATGTTTTATGCATTTGGAGGGTCTAAAACCCTAGTAAAATACATTTTTTTCATCATGATCTTGACATGAGATATACAAAAACATTGACAGGCACCAAAAAAACCAAAAAAAACAAACCACTAGATGCACCAAACATCGACAGGCACCAAAAAAAACAAAAAAACCAAAAATTCCAGCAACTACTCAGAAGTGGACCCATAGTTCCTGGAAATTTTAGTTTTTTTGTTTTTTTTGGTGCCTGTGCAGGTTTGGTGCATCTAGTGGTTTGTTTTTTTTGGTTTTTTTGGTGCTGCCTGTGCAGGTTTGGTGCATCTAGTGGTTTGGTTTTTTTGGTTTTTTTGGTGCCTGTGCAGGTTTGGTGACTCTGACTTCACAAAACATTGACAGGCACCAAAAAAACCAAAAAAACCAAACCACTAGATGCACCAAACATCGACAGGCACCAAAAAAACCAAAAAAACCAAAAATTCCAGCAACTACTCAGAAGTGGACCCATAGTTCCTGGAATTTTTAGTTTTTTTGGTTTTTTTGGTGCCTGTGCAGGTTTGGTGCATCTAGTGGTTTGGTTTTTTTGGTTTTTTTGGTGCCTGTGCAGGTTTGGTGACTCTGACTTCACAAAACATTGACAGGCACCAAAAAAACCAAACCACTAGATGCACCAAACATCGACAGGCACCAAAAAAACCAAAAAAACCAAAAATTCCAGCAACTACTCAGAAGTGGACCCATAGTTCCTGGAATTTTTAGTTTTTTTGGTTTTTTTGGTGCCTGTGCAGGTTTGGTGCATCTAGTGGTTTGGTTTTTTTTGTTTTTTTGGTGCCTGTGCAGGTTTGGTGACTCTGACTTCACAAAACATTGACAGGCACCAAAAAAAACAAAAAAAAACAAACCACTAGATGCACCAAACATCGACAGGCACCAAAAAAAACAAAAAAACCAAAAATTCCAGCAACTACTCAGAAGTGGACCCATAGTTCCTGGAATTTTTAGTTTTTTTGTTTTTTTTGGTGCCTGTGCAGGTTTGGTGCATCTAGTGGTTTGTTTTTTTTTGTTTTTTTTGGTGCCTGTGCAGGTTTGGTGCATCTATTGGTTTGTTTGTTTGTTTTGATGCCTGTGCAGGTGTTGGTGATTCTAGATTGTGTATGTTTGGATCTTGGCCATATTTTAAACTTATGTTTCAAAGAAGCAAACATACCGTTATCTTTGAATAGATGTTAAGATGATATCAATATATGTTAAGATGATATCAATCTAACAAGTTCATGAAGAAACACCTATATCATATCAATTGCTTTTAGCAATAGAATTTCTCCATCACCTCCATCACACTAGTCACCTATTGCTACTGTATATTCTGTTCCAAGATGTGCAGCTACCCATTCTTATGGCATGTTGTGCAGCAGATGTTTCATTCTTATGGCATGTTGTGCAGCAGATGTTTTCTGTTATGTGCTGATTGTTTGTAGTTCTTTGCAAGCCTCACAGAAAAAATTGAATCCTGCCACAAGAGTCTGTAAATGCCAGTGATTTATGACAGCATATGAGAGCCTTTGGAGGTGAACTCTATTTTTTGCTCTAAAATAACGGTTTTAAGCCCACTTTGGTCACAAAACACTGTAAATACCAGTATTTTTGACCATTTCTAGAGCAAAAATCACTCCCCCATGAGGGGCCGTTCTGTTAATATATTGGGCAATCATATATTCAATATAATTTTCAATAATGTCTCTAGGCCTATGGATCTTATGACATGTTATAGTTGTAGTATGTTATGACATGTTATACCTGTTCCACCCAATGCCATAATCCTACCATTAAAATTGGAAGGTGCTCCACTGGCAGACCGTGGCTTCAGAGCTTTGGAAGGTGCCGCTGGATCTTCCACAGCTCCGCAACTGGGTCACACTTGGAATATGCTCAAGTCATGGTTGAAACCAAATTTTGAACCAATCTATATTGGATATTTTTCTACGATGATTCCCAATAGATGATAAAATCCACATATATATATATATATATATATATATATATATAATATGTACATCTATATTGTTTATTTATGGAGGGCTATTTTTTTTGTTTTTTTTTCCCGTTTTTTTTTTTAATTTTTTACCCGTTTTATGAGTGAAGAAAAGAAGGAAGGAAAGAAGGAAGGAAGGAAGGAAGGAAGGGAGGGAGGGAGGGAGGGAGGAAGGAAGGAAGGAAGAAATAAACCTTAGCCTACACAAACCCTAAGCCAACCCTAAATAAACTTAAACCAACTGTAAATAACGCCCTAAACCAACACTGAATAACCCTTAAGCCAGCTGCAAAGAACTCCTAAACTAACCTTAGACAAGTTTAAAGGAACCAAATAACTCCTAAACGAACCTTAATTAAGTTTAAAAGAACCAAACCCTAAACCAACCCTAAGTAAACCCCAAACCAACCCTACTTAACCCCTCAAAAAGCCGCAAACCAACCCCAGAGAACCCCCTAGACCAACCTTCAACAAACCCTAAACTAACCAAAGCCAACCCTCAACAAACCCTAAACAAACCAAAACCCAACCATAAATGCATTTCAAACCAGCCACAAATAACCATTAAACAAACCCTAATCCAACCCTAAAAAACACTGAAACTAGCCCTAAACAAAGCCTGAACCAACCCTAAATAAACCCTAAACCATCCCTAAATAACTCCAAACAAACCCTAAACCAACACTGAATAAACGAAAGGAACCTAAGCAACCCCTCAACAAACCCTTAACAAACCAAAAACCAACCATAACTGCATTTCAAACCAGCCACAAATAGCCATTAAACAAACCCTAATCCAACCCTAAAAAACACTGAAACTAACCCCAAACAAAGCCTGAACCAACCCTAAATAAACCCTAAACCATCCCTAAATAACACGAAACAAACCCTAAACCAACCCTGAATAAACCTTGAAGCAACCTAAGCAACCCCTCAACAAACCCTAAACAAACCAAAAACCAACCGTAAATGCCTTTTTAACTAACCACAAATAAAATAACCATGCAAATCCTAAAGAAACCCTAATCCAACCCTAAATGCAACCTAAACCAACCTTAAACAAAGCCTACACCAACCTTCAACAAACCCTAAACAAACATTATCGCAACCGTAAATGCACTTTAAACCAAAAACTTTACTGTAAATACACCTTAAATCAGCCCTAAATAAGCCTGAAACCAACCCTAAAGAAACCTTAGACTCCCTAAACAAACCCTTAATCAACCTTAAACAAACTTCAACCAACTCTAAATGAATCCTAAAACCAACCCTAAACAAACCCTAAACCAACCCTAAATGAACCCTAAACCAATCTTACCCTAAAGAAACCCTAAGCCAGCCTTCAAAAAAACAAACCCACCCAAACTAACCTTTAAACCAACCGTAAATCAACCTGAGGCAAATACCATGAGAGATCCAAGCTCCAAAATGTTACAAATGCCAGTCGAGTGAGAGATCCAAGCTCCAAAATGCTGCAGACACCATGCTACTGCTAATGAGAGATCCAAACTCCAATGGAGATCTATGCTCCAGACTGGTGCGGTGCAAATGCCAGGTAAAACCACCTCAGCCAGAAAACGGGGAAAAAAACACAAAAAGAAACGGAAAAAACATCCCCAAAAAATGCAGCCCTTTTTTATTTGTATTTTTGAGATGGGTTGCAAAGCTTCACCAACCAGGCAATTATTTCTCCAGATGCAGCGGCTCCTTCTGGGCCGCCTATGTGTGCGTTGCACAGGGAGATCTCTGCGTCTTCGCGGTGTCAGACACGGTGGGGGTGGTGCCTATGTGGCTCGCCCTGGGGGAGGGATTCATCTTGCTGTCTCCCTACTGGCCATCAGAACAGGTACCACTGAGCAACCTGAGTTGCAACCTGCACCTGGCCATCGGTTGGCGCCAGGCATCTCCCAGGTTGATGCACCAATGGTCTGCTAGTGGTGGGTTAGAGGCTTCCATGCCTGATCACTTTTTTGGGCTACACGGGAGAAAGCTGGAGCTGGAGATGGCTGAAGCCAAGAGAGGGGAAGAGGCGGGTTTGGCTCAAAAATGGATGAGTTCCTACCAAAAGCAGGGTCTATAGTCAATCATCCTTTCATTATCTTTCATTATCTTTCATTATCTTTCATTATCTTTCATTTGGAACGCCAGATATTTGGGCACTTCAAGAACCGTTCTGGGACCGCCTTCCGTTGGGCATCGGAGTCAGGAGATGACCCTTCAACTGCGCGAAGCTCTGATCCAAGCAGTGCGACGATGTGTCGCGGGGGAGGAACATGTGGGACTTTTGTTCAGTGGTGGTTTAGACTCTGGGCTTCTTGCATGGCTCTTTACGGAAGAACTTGCCCCATGCAGATGCTCGTGCTACACGGTGGGATTTCACATGGAGGATAAGAAGATCAAAAACAAGCAACTGAACTTAAGACTTTTGAAACATCTTTTTTCATTTTCGGTTGGGTTGTTGTGCTCTCGAGGGTTTGGCGACCCGCCATTGTAGCCGGCATCACTGGATGTGGTAAACTGGTTGTGGATGCAAGTAATAAACTGGTTGTGGATGCAACCCCGAAGCAAAAGATGATTCAACTGATTCTTGCGTCTTTTCCTGGCTCAGCCCACACTCTACACTTCTACTTTGATCCGAAGACGCCCTGCGAAACATCTTCACCGTCCATAGCTGTCACTGGTGCAGCAAGGCAGACGAGGACGCTTTTGAGCCCAAAACTTTTGGAAAAATAAATTGCTGCGGACAACCCCAATTCCCTAACGGAAAAGCACTTAAATCCCGTTGGTTGCGGAGCTATCCCCCTTAAGGTTTCAGGATGGTTTTTCCCTTTACCTATCCCATTAGAATTCCCCAAAAACCCAATTCCCCAAGTTGCAACCAGATCCCACGGCTCTGTGGAACCCGACCTTGGTACAACTTCGGCAGCTCGATGTTCTTTTCGATCGGACCTGGCACAATCCAAGTCCCAATGTTTCTCTTGTCCATCACCCAGGATGGTCTTAGGGATGGGTTCTTCTTTTTCATAACTGTGCAATTGGGTAACAGGACCGTTGTGATCTTGTACCCGCAAAACTTTCAAAATTGGTGGACTTTCATCCCAAAAATAAACCCGTTTAGGTTTTGGGTTACCCCTTTTGGACCTATTACCCCGTTTTAGAATACCCCTAGGTTCTTCTTCTACAGGGTGTTCAACTTGTCCAGGAATGTTCTTCTTCTCCAAAAACGGTAAGACCGACTCCAACTGGAACCGAGCCTTGACCACGGATTCAGTGACGCGATACGCATCAGCCAGTACTTGCACCAGCCTTCCAATGGCAGTGCTCAGGGCTTCATGCCGGAAATCGGCTAGTTCTGGATATTCCTCGGCCAGACCAACCACCTTTTTCACCACTGATACGCACCGACCAGCGATGTCTCGGTAGTTGTCCCAGGAGGGAGTCTCCTGGTCTGGTTCTTCTGGACGTTGTTCTTCTCCCAGAGGTTGTTCTTCACGATGGTTGGACCCCATTGATGGTTCCTCATTTGGAACCCCGGAACCTTGGTGATTGACGAACCTCCAGAACCTTTCCCAACTGGGCTTCACAGCGATGATCTTCGTCAGGAAATCGGCCACAAGTTTTACCCCTGGAAGGTGACGGATGATCCAACTACCATCCTTTAACCGCTCCCTTAGGGCTGTTGCTCGCAACCGCAAGTGTCGAGTCCTCCACGGACCGTCAGGATTTTCCAAGATGGCTATTGCAGCCGTGTTGTCTCCGTAGATGATCTTCTGCCCGATTTTCCGTCCTTCCACGACCTCTATGAGAGACGCCAGAGAGTCTCCCATGACCATGGATTCCAAGTAGGACATCAGTTCCCCTTCGGCGGTGCTCAACACCACAAAAGCTTGACGGCTGGCTTCCCATTGAACCAACCCTCCACCATAAAAACCTAGGATACCCTGCAGTGATCTTTCGCCCGCAGGGGCAAATGAAATGTCTGAGAACATTTCAACTTGCTGCATCTCCCGGTGAAATGGCAGGTCATCTTCGGGACCACGATCATCACTTGTGCAAACCCCATAGCTGAGATGTTGAGTTTCGGTTCCCTTCAGGTAACCAAACACCTGTTGTGCGGTTTTCACCACCCATTTGGGCCGTTTGTTCACCTGTCTTCCCAATTGGCTGACGGCGAAACTGATATCCGGCCTTGTCCTTATGGACAACCACAGCAACTCGCCCACCACCGTTTGAGCTTGTCGGATGTTTTCAAGTGCTGGTTGTTCTTCTTCCGGAAGTTCGGCATCCGCTTTCGTCATCGGAACCGGTCTTGGGTGTTCTACTTGATGTCGATTCAATAGATCCCGAGTGTAGGACTGCTGTCCCACCTTCAACTTCTTTTGATCCCCTTGACCGCGCCATTGGAGCTCGAACCCACAAAATCGAACCCAGCCTTCGTGATCAACTTCTTCAGGAGTGGAGCAAGTCCATTCTTCCTTCAGCCTCTTCAGGAAGCTGTGTTTGGCGTGAGGTTCAGCAAGAACCATAAGATCGTCCACATAGACGACCACCAAACCCACTTGCCGATATCCATCAGGACGTACTTCTTCTCCTGGTGCGTCACCACCTTTACACAGGATTCTCCACAAATTTCCCTCCGGTGTTTGTTCTAGCTGCTAGCTTGTAGACCTTCTGCACCTCCCCCGGGCTTGCATCTCCCTGCCATGTGAACCGCCGCATTGTTTGGTCGCGGTACACTGCCCAATGGGCAGGACTGGATTGAAACCCATACAGGGCCTTGTCGACAAGCCAGACTTCATCCGGTTGGGTAATCCCAAAATCAGTCATGATCCTGGGCGGAACCACCGCCACGGTTTTGGCACCTTGTTCCACCGGCCGAGGAGCCAGTAGAAAAGCGGTCTTAATCGTGGCTACATCCCATTGGTGATGAGCAGCTGCCTTTCGCAATGCACACCTTATCAGAACCCCGTCCGCTCCACTGGCATACAGCAGAGAGGAAGGCATGGGATCCGCTTCCGGTGATGCCAAGTTGCCGCAGATCACAGCACGACATTTGTATCTCCCTCCAGCCTTGATCACACAGACCAATTTCCCCGGCACCAATTCGGCTTCAGGGTCAATCTCGGACCTTTTGACTGGTCGGATAGCTTTTGTTTCTGCAGTCAAGGATTTGTACTCGGCGAGCATCGAGTCGTACCATTTTTCTTTTTCCATTCTCACCTTGTGAAGAGGGACTGTAACAGTTTGAAGTTGTTCTTCTCCACCGCTACCGTCAGCTTGTGCTGAACAAACCCTTAGTTGGCACACTCGCCTTTCCTCCTCAACCTTCGCAGTTGTCACAGCTTCCAGTTCTTCTTCCAAATCTTCACGATGTTCTTGTAGAAGTCGTAGAACTTGTCCCTGTATGAACCCGTTTGTGGGATCCACTGGAACCTTTGACAGTTCTTCCTTGATAGCTTCCACAACTCCAAGGTGTTGATCTTCTTTGACCTTCAACAGGTGTGTCAAGCTAACGTTTCGACGATGAACTCCCCCGAGGTTGGACTTCTTTCCATGTGCTTCTCCCCCGAGTCTGGACCATCTTGTGTAGAAACCCTTGAAGCTTTGATTTTTTCACGTTTGAAAAGGTTACCGGGCTCCCCCCTGCTGACACTTCAGCAGGCTCTACTTTCATTTTTGAGATTTCCGGCACAAGGCTGTCAATCTCTTCCACAGGAGCTTCCGGATCTTCTCGGTTGAGCTCTTCAAAAAGCAAGTCGATTTCATCAGGCCCTTCATCTGCTTCGAGCATTTCGCTCGGTTCGTATGGCTCTGAATCTTCAGGTGGTGATTCGTCAGGAGGTGGTAGCGGAGCGTCCCCAATGGTTGGCGGCAACCTCATGACACCTTCTGGCGGCGTCTTGGAGTAAAGCCGTCTATGCGGCCTTTCAGGATTGTCTTCTATCTCCAACCTGATGCGGACCCGCTCCCCTTCCTCACTCGGAACAACCACTTCTCGAGCATGAACCACTTTTCCATCCTTTTGTTGGACTACCCAACCCGAGAACATCATTGGACTCGGGCACAGTAGGCGTCCTTCTGTGTATGGAGACGGAATCGCCCCCTTTTTGAACCATCTTTTTGACCGAACCAAGACGTTGGCCCTGAAGGGCAGCATTGACAGTACGGGCACCCCCAGTTTCTCCAACTGTTGCCTCATTCGTTCTTCAGCACAATACCTCATGGCTTGAGGCCAGTCGGTCACCTCACTTCCTGCCACGCGGAGATACAGACGGGTTCGCCTTTTAAGCTGATTGACCTCTGATTCCACATGGCCGTTTGAGGCCGGGTCGTCTCCCTCCGTCATGCTCTGTCTTATAAGGCGCTCTGAGCACCATTTTTCCACCTTTTTTGACAGCAGCTCTTTAGCCCGATCACTATGCAGACGGTTGATCTTGATGCCCATCGTGTTGAACTTCGCGATGCACTTTCCCAGGGCGACTAAGATTTCACTCACATGTCTTGACCCCAGAAGCTCCACCAGTGTTACGTGCCGTACATTGAACGGCTGTTTAGATTCTTCCACCAACCTTTTGACTTCTTCCGTCATCGGGTCGGGATCTCCTTTATCTTCCTTTCCACTGTTGTTCTTCTCCCCCAACTCTGGAAGTTGATGATCTTCTCCACCAAGCGGGCAATCCCCCTCTTCGAGACCATCCCCCCACGAGGGTTCCAGAATTTTGGGTTTCCCCTTTTCTGGGGATTCTTCACATGGCATCACGATGTCCTTCGATGGAGCTTGATCTTGTTGTTCTTTGGGTCGATCTTCATCTTCTCCTCCAGTTTTGGTGATGTAATCCGGGACCAAAGCAGTGGCCACCATTGCATACTTCACCACATCCTTCCCAGAGGATAGATCCCTGACCTTTGGAAAGGGTCCCACGATGTCCACGCTCATCGCCCATGACGACGTCGTAGCATCGCGTCTCCTCCGATGTGGAGACCTTGCACCCATTTCCAAAACACAAGTCCTACAATCCCTTCTATATGGTCGATGGCCTTGACGAATATGGGCTTCCCAGGCTTCCTCTGACGTCATCTTGGCCAAATGTGGCTCTTCACCCGCAGTTTCATCGCCTTCCCGTTTGAGATGTCGGTGAAGTGCTTCTCGGATGGCAGCCCTTAATCCCGGTGCCCATACCGCCCAGGTGGGCGACAAATGGCAACGGTCCTTGATGTCCTTTGGCAGGGCCTCGGAGTGCTTAGTGCTGCGTTGATCTTCCAAGTCTCTCATGTCCTCCAGGTTTGTGAGGCACGTGGTCGGTTTCCTTCGTGAGTGTCCAAAGCACCCTTGGTCAAAGGATACCAAACCCATTCCTTGGTAGCGGAGCAGCTGCATTAACTCCGGCCATGCCCAAAAGCTTGGA